GACGGCCGAGGGCTCCATGGCGGTGGGCACGCTGAGTGCAGCTGTCAGGGCGGCCGCGCTTTGACCCCCCGCGGCCCCCGTCCCTGGGCGCAGCCAGCGCGCGCGCGCGCTCTCCCGCCCCGCCCCCCGCTCCGAAGCTGGCGCCAAAGCGCGCCGACCAATCAGCAGCGGCGGCGCCCAACTTCGGCCCACCCACCTGGCGCCAGTCTCGTTTCCCTTTCTCGCCCGGTCCAGTTGCCGCGCTGAGCGACAGAAAGAGTGACCAATAGTACGCGGTGCTACGCCTTGCCGGCGGCCAATCCCCCGTGAGCCCTGTCCAAGCCTCTCCCTGAGAGGTTAACAGACCTCCTCAGTGCTGACCAATAGAACAGACGAGGAGGCTCGTGTGCGGCCAATGGAAACGAGCCTAGCTCTGTCTCCTCCCTCCCCCAGGGACAGCAGAGCTGACTACTAAGCTTGCCCGCCATATGGGCTCGTCGGCGGGTTCCCCTGTGGGCAAGCCAACGTGTAACCCTATGCTGGCGCATGCGCCAACGGGACTGCAAGTCCTACCATGCAATGCTCCCCTTGATCCAAGGGGGACGCTGGGCCGGCGGGCGCATTGCATGCTGGGATTTGTAGTCTGCAAGTCCCATCACCCAGCATCGTGGGGCATGAGGCTGCTCTAAAGACCCAGCTTGGCCCCCAGGGCCTGGTCCAGCCTCTCACAGCCATGAGGCGCACACATGGCAGCCATTCCTGCAGCGTCCAGGCTGGCCTCACTAGCTTAGCACCAGCCTCTCAGTGCTCTGTGTTCCTGTCAAGCCCCAGCTCCTGGAGGCATGGGATGAAGACAGCAAACTGCCATAGCTGCCTCGCACCTCTGCTACCAGGCACCTTGCTACCCCGCAGGGTGGTGGAGATGAGCTTACACCCCTAACGCTATCCATCCCTAACAGTATAACCACAGAATAAAACCCAGCCACTGTGCATTGGCATTTTCTCCTTCCCAGAGTCGTGGGGAGCCTGATCCTGGTTTCCAGCCCTTTGGGGCTGGCAGGCCTATAAACCAAGGTGGAGATCGGGGGCTCGGAGCACTGCTGCAGCAACGAGGCGACGTGTGACGCCAACAGCGGTTGCTGACACCCACACGGATCTGGTAACAAGTCCAAAGCAGTCGTGTTGGACTGGAAGGGGCCTCCTGAGCAATCACGGCAAACCCCCTGCGCTCACAGGCAAGTACTGGACTAAAAGCGCCGCTCAAAATGGTCTCACGCGTGCGAAACACCAAAAACACCCTACAATGTGTCGTGGGAAACAGCAGAGGAAGGAAACAGCTCTGCCAGTGCTCTTTCGCTGCAGTGCCAGGGATGGACTGGGCTAGTGTTTGCTCAGATGATTAGGGAAAAGGCCAGCGATCCATGCTCCGTGGGAAAGCAAAACGCCCTCACAGCCTTTGACGGTTTGACTCAAGTAAAACTTATTTCCTGACCCCAGATTTGGAGATTGGTGCGACCCTGAGTGAGCAAGCGTCCAGGACCCTCAATCTAGGAGCCTCTGGGTTTCCTATATACTGGCTAGTCAACATCCCCAGCCATAGCTGTGAAATGTACCCAGCGCATCAGAGAAAGACAAAACAAAAGAAAACCAGAATCCAGTAATAGAAAGGGAGAATTCCTTCCTGGCCTTACTGGTGCCCAACACAAGCCCCAAACAGTTAAATTATCACTGTATACACAACAGAAGAAAAGTTTATACCCCAACTTGGGGACGGTAAAGATATAATTTATTTCACAAATCACACATACTGATGACAAAGCCAACCCCCCCTCCCATGATACCCACCCTTCCCTCCCTTCCACATCCTTCATGTCATTTCTGATCAAAGTGAGAGCTTTGCAACATCAATGAGGGTCATCTGCTTTTGTGTGAAGGCTTTGGTAAAAGGTGGCTGATGGCTCAAAATAAAAAGGCATTTCACAAAATGTCAGTTCCAGGCAGCTGCAGCTGGAAGCTTCACAGGTTTTATTATCAATGTTGTGTGTGCACATGTGCATGCACTTTTTAAAAAGTCAGTGCACAGTCTAGAGAAATATCATTGCACATCCTTGTGTCACTGAGCAGGATGTTTAGCTCAATGGTGCAGATAGATCTTGAGTGTTAGAAGACAACAATTACACAATTGACAGCAATTACACAAAGACAACAATCACACCCTCAATGACACGGCCCATTGTGTATTCCACTGGTTAGGACGGTGGGATTGTGAAACGCTGCTCTGACCCCTCAGCTCCCATAATGATGTAGATCAGCAGTTCCCAATCTGTGGTACGGGTACCACCACAACCTGTCAGTGGTACGCATTGACTGATTTATCATAGTTATTTTATATGACAAAACTTTGCTGGCGGTACTTAAGTTTGTATCATTTTAAATTGGTAGTGTGCACCCCGTCAGTTTGGGAACCGTTGCTGTAGATGAAAGGATCAGTGGGAGTGTGAATGGAAAGCAGTGGGGCGACACTCTTAGGCCTCTTCCATGCTGGGGTTCAGTGGGGCTCCATTCAGCCAGAAAGTCAGCTTAGGTAGGATTAGAACTTAAATTTGTCTCCTATTTTGTTTTTCTAGATTTTTTTTAACCTAAGAAATGCTGGGGAGAGTTAGCCTTGTATTCCTAGAGAACTAGAATAAGCACCTCCCAGGGGTTTCTTCAGTTTGCATTTGAAAGGTTATGATTGAGGTTGCTGAATCATTCATTCCTAAACCTTTTTCTCCCTATTGTTTTCCAGGTGTTTGACTTAAACAGGTGCTAAGTAACACTTCTTTATCATGCAGACCTGAGAGCCCAATATACAGGGTTGGAGGGTAGTGGATAGATAGCCCCGTGGGAAGGGAGGCTCAGCAATCTTGACCACCGTCCGAATGTGCCTTTGGGCACTATCCCAACCTGGGGCAGAAACCTCCTTAGAGCAGCGTTTCCCAAACTGTGGTTTAAAATGATACAGCATTAAATACCACCAGCAATTTTTTCAGCTCAGCCTGAAGGACAACTATCAATTTTTTGTCATATAATTCTAATAAATCTGCCAACACGTACCACTGCCAGGCAGTCTGTGTACCACTGGTGGTACCCATACCACAGCCACTGACTCAGAGTATGATTTGAGGCTGTTCTGGCTGAGCCAGAGAGCAGCCCATGATCCCTAATCCATGCACTGTGTACACGTGGACAAGGGGAGCCTGTCTATTCCTTTCATGTGACACCACTTATCTATCAGCAATGAACAGCTAAAAGAAAGTCAGCAAAATGCAACAAGCAGGGCTTGGGGCTAACAGAGAAAAAGCCCCAAAAATCCAAATAGTCTGATTAAATGTTTCTTCCCCTCTCAGCTACTTGGTTTTCAGGGTTTTGTCTCATAGTAACCCTACTACTACTGCAGTCCTCTATTGTGAAAATAATATTCCATGGCTTTCTCATATATCCGAAAGGAGAAAAAAAAAGCCAAAAGCTCATTTTTCCCCCTCTTGCAGATCATATTTAACTCATTGGCTCTTTAGCATCTTCCAGTTGGTGAGAGTCACCAGGCGCCTGCAGCTCTCTGCTCTGGTTTATTTTTTGTAGATCTCCCCCCCAGGTCTGGTTTACTTGTTCTCTCTCATTAGCCCTCCAAACGAGCAGTCCACCGAGCATCCTTTCATAGCGGTGTGCTGCGGCACGCTTTCACCTGCCTGTGAGAAGAGCTGCCAAGTGGAAAGGAAACACGGTCCCTGGCAGAGGTGCTGTGCTCCCGGGAGCCTTGCAGCAGGGGTTGTCATGGGCACAAGCTGGCTCTGTAGCCTCCCTGCTCACGCAAGGCATGTACCAGCCTCCAAGAGAGGAAAGTGTGTTTGTGTATTTCTCAGCCTCCTCCCTTAACTGTCACAACATCTGGGTTCAATTTCCCTCCCTTTTTGATAACTCCTTTTTCCTCCTTCCAGTACTGTTATCACATGAAAGTGCATGCATGTCTTTAACAGGTTAAAAAGAAGGTGCTACACAGGGGCAGCATCCCCCAAACCAAAGCCTTAGGATGGGCTGTTTCCTCCTATGATGGCAGCTTGCCTGGGACAGGTTTCACATGGCTACAAAATTCTTGCCTGCAGTGGAAACATCTGGAATAAGAGACTTCTCCCAAGTGACCAGGATTTGCCAGAGCGGCTAATATTGGGTTCGTGGCAGTTCCCTGCAGGCTTGACTCAGTCTCCCAGGGGCATTGATATCCTGCCATCACTCTGCCAAGGGCTTTCCACCACAATGCTCCCTTGTGACAGCCCCTAGATCCCAGGACCAGAGGGATGAGAGGCTAGAGAAACAGGCATTTGCTTTCCAACTGAAATGAAAAGCTTCTCTTAGCACCGGATCGGAGGAGGACGGCAGCAGAATTTCCAATGGTAAAATCGGAATTCCTGGAGCAGGAAGCCAGAGCCTGTAAGGCTCCCGGTGACCTTCCAGCAGCCCTTCCCCATACCTGCCACTAGATGGTACTTTAACGTGCAATACCCACACGGAAGTCTCGATGCATCACAGCTGCACTGACTCCGACGCCCAACCCCTTGGCAGTTGTCGCAGACCCGTGTCATCGCGAGGACACAGGAACACTTAGCTTGATTTGCTCAAAAGGTATTGAGGAAGAAACCAGCATATGAACACCATTTACTATTGGTTACAGCTTCAAGCCAGGAGGAAAAGCACAAACAGGGAAGGAGAAGGCAGTCAAAATTGCTACAAATTTGGGGTCTAGGAAAGAAGCCACATTGGCTGCCCCAGAGACAGACAATCTTAATTCAAGTCACGATTCAAACCAGCAACCAAACCCCAGGTCTTCGAGCCACCAGGCTCCTCTCAGAATGGCGTTCCTATTCAGTATTTATGCCCAAAACTTCCTCCCATACTTCTTTTACTCAAACCACCTGCGTCTCAGGTGGCTTTTCCTCCTTCCTGTGCCCTACAGAGTGCCATGAGGTCATTCCTGCCCTCCCCTTACTCATTCAAACGTGGAGCACGAGAGCTCTCAAGGGGCTTCGCAGGGTTATGGCAGCACTGGGTGGGGATGACCCAGGGGTAGGCAGGGAGTTTGTGTGTTTTGCCATGAAACAGATGCAGAGCACCCCTGAGGGCACAGTCCTATAGACCCCGTCTCTCTGGCTCCGATGAAGCGTCCAGGACTACTTCTGCAAGATGCTATGAGAACAACGATGCCCTTTAGGGACGCAGACGGAGCTGGGAGTTGGGTGACCAGAGCCAAAAGTAAGGGAAGATTTTCTCGTGGAAAGTGGCAGTGAATTGGTGGATTTGCACCATGTTCTCTGCGTTGTAGAAGGTCACCTGCCCCTCTTCATAGTCCAAGTGGACTCTGATCGTCTGGGGCTTCTCTTCCAGTGAGACCAAGGTTGGGGGGAAAGTGAGAGCTGTGTACTGATGGTCCCAGCCCAGCCGCAGGGCCCAGATCCCTCCCGCAATAAGATCTTGTTGCCCTTTCCTCTTCACAGACTCGGTGGCAACCCCCAGAGCCCAGGAGTTCCCGTCGCCTACCTCCACCTCCCAATAGTGCCTCCCTGCTGCGAATCCCTCGGAGCCCAGGACACTGGGGCTAGAAGTGAACCTCTTGGGGTTGTCATGTATGTCCAGCTGCTTCTGTCCGAGCCTCACGCTTTTCCCATCCTCCGACAGCACAAGGAAGGGATATGCTGTTTCTGGGTCTAGAGTGACGTTGGCTAAGGATGGACGCACAGAGAGGGAAGGGGAGAAAACACAATGTCAAGGTCTCTGAGAAGCACAGTGCCAACTCATTGTCCTCCACATTTGGGGGGGGGGTAAGGAAGAAGGTATATTCATCATCTCAGCAAAAAAGAGCAGGAGAGACTCTCCCTGGAGCTGAATCAGGAATAAGATTTGGCTGAAATCCTAACCTCACTAAGATCAACAGCAGTTTTACAATTGATTTCCACAGACGTGGGATTTCACCCCACTAATGCAAATACCCGTAGCCTTACAGGAGAGCATGCCAGAACATTTCTAGATCCCTTGTTGTTCTTCTGGTTACCCTGTAACAGCTAAGTGAGGGGGCCTAGATATATGCTGGCCTGATCTCCGATTTCCATTGCAACACTGATGTGTTGGTGGGTGAAAGGGATACGGGATGCAGCGAGGGCCTTAGTTAGCTCAGCTTTTGTCATAATGGGAATTGGCCATAGCAACGTGCTTCTCCATACAGAATCACGGACCAATTCCCAGAATGGCAAAAGCTGTGCTAGCGAGAGCTCAGCAAATTGTACCACACTCAAGACCACTGATGACAGAGGTTTCTGTCATCAGAGACATACTTGGCCCTCTTGGGTGGATTGTGGAAGAAGCTGTACAAAATCCCAGCCTAGATCTGAATTTTGGGGCTGTTCGCTGTCACGGTAAAGGGATGTAACAAAACCTCTGTCTCCAAACACTTGAATCTGAGGGCGCTGCAAGACCACCATCAAGTTGTAACTGTGCTAGGACTCCTTTCTACCTGGGCTGTACAGGGTAGGTAGAACAGCTCCCAGGAAGGGTAAATATCTAATCTAGGCAGTGGGGTTTTTTTGCTTAAAAGAGAAACACCGTGTGTAAATAGGATTGTTCGCAGAAGTTTTGAGGCCAAAGTAAATGCTGAGGAATCACAGGTCTAAGATAATGAGGGCCCATGAAGGGCTGACATGGATTATCCACCCTGCCCAAGTCTCTGAAAAAAAAAAAAAGCAGTGCAGACGCAAGGCAGGTGAGCCTGCTTGGAACGACTTAGTTTTAGGGCTCTGGTGGTGCGTCAGCGCAGTGGGGAAGTTAATATTTTTTTTGAGGGATTTGAGCAGGTGGGTGAGGATCATATATAGGTGCCTAAGTCTACTGAGGCACTCCTAGGTAGAGCAATGGTCCTCAGCCTCGTTAGACTCAAGACCCCCACCCTGAGAAAGGGCCAGCTCTTTGCTTTCACTCATTCCTCGACAATGGAAAAATACCGGAGTGATTCTGCTGCAAAGAGCTCAGCAAACCCGCAGCAGGGCAGAGGGTTTGTGACCCTCTGGATTCCCACTGGAAATCTCTGGGTTTATTGTGTGAATTGTGCAGGTGTTTACACACCCAGCAGTGCTAATATTGCACATCAGCTTTCAAAGGATCTTGTGCATCCCTGGTTGAGAATCATTGAGGTAGAGAACAGGATTTAGCCCTTAGTCACAACAAAAAACTCACAGCTAGCCCCGAAGTGGTCCTGTCTGTTCATGAATGCCACCACGTGGCTACTCAGTAAAAGCCCCTTTGCACTTTATTTCACTTGCCCCCATTTCACATGCTTCATGACACTCAGTTGTCCTCAGCCCCAGCCCTTCACTCCAACATTCATTTCCAGCAACCAGTAACTTGGTCACAAACCTGAACCCACGTCCTGTCACACCCCTAAAAGGGATTCATACCGTTGTTGGAGGCCAGAGGGGGAAAACCTCTTTGGGCTCAGATGCCTCTTCCTCTGGAAAGCCCCGAGAGCAGAGGTAGGGCCAAACACCCTGGCAGTGGCTCTCTCCCTCTCTGGGCTCTTTGCATCCAGTTCATATTTTGAACATCCCAGTCTAAGCATTGCCCATGTGAGGATATTCACCCTGCTTCTTTGAGACCCCAGGTTCAATGCCATTACACCTGTAAGAAATGCCATATGGCCTGCACATGTGTTCAAGCACTTGGCTCCCAATGCCATGGGAGAGAAGTTCTCCAGAGGGGCAGGGCAGCTTTGGGGCAAATACTGCTGGGTTTCTTCTCAGATGCTGTGTGTTAGATGGGAAGAGAGAGCCCTTTAGCACTGGCACAGGGCAATGCCAGGCCTACATTATTATAAACAGGTCCAAACAGAAAAAAGAAATCACATGATCTGAGTGCACCTGTACCTAAGCCTGGGGGCAGAGACTGTGGCAGAAACCCCTCTCTGCAACAAAGACAGAAGACATTTCCACCTTCCTCTTAGGAAAGCATCCACCTCTTACTTGTGTCCATCAGCTACAGCCATTTACCTCTTTCTTTATCCATCTCGGCTTGCAGATTCTCTAGGGGAAGAAAAGGAAGACAGGGGTGAGATCTCCCGTATGCCAGTCCCCATGATGATATTGCTTCTGTTCACTGTGACAGTGAGTTTTTAGCCAGGGTGGAGAGAAGACAACATTTGGGACAATCTTTTGTGCCTATCCCCCACTGTTCCACCCTCCCAGCAGCCTGCTCTGTGCGGTCACAGCCTCACCCCGTACTGAGCATCCCTCCTTCTGCTCATCCATCGGCAGCCAAGGGTCCTTTATGGGGCTGGTGACTCAAGGGTGCCAAAAGTGTGACGGAGCAAAAGCAGAGCACTCCAGTGGGGGAAGTACTGGGAAGAGATTTGGGACCTGAAGAATGGACGTGATGACAGAGCTGGAAGCCTGGGGACCAGTGACAGCCATGGGGGGGCTTTAGGGATTGGGGGCAAGATGAACAAGGGCACGTGGAGCACCAGAAGCCAGAGACTGGGGAGGGAGACACATGGGCTCTCAGGGAGAGGTGGCACACTGAGCATTGCTTTGTCTTACCTTTGAATGTGGCCAGCAGGCCCGTGACCAGGATGCGATTTTCAGAGAAGCTGATGACTTTCTTCTCCAGCTCAGGGGGAACGGGCTCTGGGGTGGGAGCCTTCACAGCCTCGCACCTAGGGAGACGCACGGAGACACGCTGAGCACGCCCAGGTGCACAACCGCATGACCCAATGGAAAGGAGGGGTCATCACTAAGGAGGACTATTCAGCAGTTGCTCGGGGATGTAGGGGGATGGTTAGGAAGGCCAAGGCAGAGATGGAGCAGGGGCTGGCTTCCCGGATTAAGGACAACAAGAAGTCCTTTTTTAAGTACATAGGGAGTAGAAAGAAGGCCCCAGGAAATGTGGGGCCCTTGCAGGACAAGACGGGGAATCTGGTTGTCACACCAGATGACAAAGCCAACATATTTAATAACTTCTTTGCCTCTGTCTTCCTCAGTAAGGACCAGAACTGCC